CCCCAAAACCCCAAAACCCCAAAACCCCAAAAAGTCTGAACAAAATTGAATCTGTTTTAGCTAGGCTTCAAGAAGTACAAATCATTATTCAGCTTTGGACTATCTGAAGTTTTCTTCTTGCTTCTCAGCTTTGTTAAGAACTGTGATTTGCAAGGAGCAGGGTCAGGTTTCATAGCTGGACCTGCTCTTGTAATTTTGGGTAGAGATTTAACTGAATTAAAGGATTTTTGATGATTTTCAGGATAAATTTTGGACTCTGAACGTGCACCGATTGCTTTAAGACAGATTATGAGAGAGGCAGGCTGCTCAGAAGATGCTTCAGAGACTACTGGAGGGTGTTCCGTCGAAGGAATTTTGAGTTTTTGATGATTTTGAGGTGAGTTAGGGTTGAAATTGGTATGGGAAATCCCTTCAACTCTTAATTTACTGTCGTAATCGTTTCTTTTTGGGAGATAGTGGGCTCTGGTTAAAGAATGAGAGTGAAAGAGATTCTGAATAGTTTTTTGTGGGCTGGTAGGCTTCTTTAGTAGATCGCGTTCAGATTTATTTCATCATTGCCATTCTTTTCTGATAAAATGACATATGCTTGTCTGTATACAGATTTGACACTTTTCGAGCAAGCAATGATCTAACTGCTTTACTTTTACTTTTAGAAATATTTTTCAAGGATTTAATCTTGTTTGAAGATGTACTCCTATTGCTTAAAAACTTTCAACGCATCTTATAATTTTTCAAAGTATCATTTAATGATTCCTGAGAAGAGTTGTTCAAAGAGTTTATTCCTTGTTTCAGAGTTGCCTTGTACAGTAAACTAATTCCTCTCATTGGCACTCTTGTCTTAGTTCTATCATGACTAGCAAGTCTTAAAGGCTTTGTCTCCTTTTCGTTTATTTCTTTAATTTGGCTCAATAGAACTATTCTTTCTGGATTCGAATTTACCCTTTTTAATGAGTGATTCTCTGGGTGCTCAAGGCGTATATTGACAGAAGCTTTATTCCCAACAACGCAACATCTATTTTTCTTAATGGCTTCTGAAATCTTATCTTTGATATTTACTTGAGACAGTTTATGGTTCTTACTAAAGAATGTGTTTAGTTAGATTTCTAATATTTCTGAACTCTTTTGATAAAATTTTGAGCTTAAAGACAATTTTTAGGATTCTAAGACATTGGGAAAGGTCTTTAACCTCATTGTTTCATAAATATAGAGTAATTTAATACTCTAAAATTTCAGATAGCCATTCAGGAATGTCTTACCCCAATATATAATGTGAATTTGCTTTTGTATAAGCATGCTTAAGATATTTCTGAACTCTCAGGTTATTTCTCTGAATATTATCTAAATAATATAAACATGTTGTTACTCTTATTTCTTAAGAGTTACTTTGATCTCGCATTTCTCTTCAGGTTTGAGCTTAAGGTTTATCTGAGACACAGATTGAGATCTCAAGTTTTTCTGAGGAAGTGAAGCGACTGAGGATTGCCGCACAGCCTTTTTCTTTTGAATATAATTGCTTCAATTCTCTTTTAATTTACTCCAATATATTTCCTCATTCAGATTGATATTTAATGTCTTCTTGCTCAAACTCTTTGGAATAAACCTTGCAGGCGGAGTTGAAGAGATTATATCGCTTGACTGCCGAGGAGTCAGGAAAGGCGATTTTGGATTTAAGGAGCATAACCCTTCAGTTTTGTTAACAGTTATCTTCCCAAATTGATGAAAATTATCTTCTAAAATTCATATTAGTTCTCGTAAGGATTTACTACAGAAAATGAGGAAGCTTACCATCTAGAGTTAGAGAGGGAATTCTATGTACGTTTGACTTAATTCTGAAATGTTTTAGACAACATTTTACCGGATGAGATCGTGATTCATTCAAAATTCAATAATATTATTCTTCATAGGGGTTTTGGGGTTTTGGGGTTTTGGGGAGAT